TCCCAACGTGGAAATTGAGTCTAACTGAAAACCAAGTTCGAAGTGTGTGTGTGTGGGGGTACTTTTGGTTGTTTCAGGGTTGTCTACATGTCTTCTGTCTTTTTTGTTTAAGGTGTTTTGAGCAAATGTCTTCCAATGTCTTAGGTTTTAGATGTTTTTAGTCTTTTGTCATCTAGCAACTCAAAAATAGGTTTGGTATGGTTTGGTGTTGGAGACCTTCGAGCGACGGCACACAGGCGGCTATAGTGTTGAAAGGTGATGAGCACCTGCGCAGTGTTTCTAAGGCATCAAACGTTTTTTCCTATGGCATCATACTATGACCTAGTTCAAGTCTGTCACTTCAAACTGGAGCAGTCTTCCAGCACCTTAAAATGAATCCTCAACATGTTCAAGAACCGAGCTGAGGATGAGACTTTTCTCCTCGAAAAGGCTGTGTGTGTATCTGCCTGTGTTTAGTGCTTCAAGTTTATCCAGCGCAGCCATGTTGGATCTTCTAAAGTTCTCCCCCTATGCAAATATGTGCGCTGAAACGAGAGCATGTCCCTTCTCCACCTCTCAACCCCTTCTCCACCTCTCAACTATGGATCAAAGGAAATATAATGGAATAACGGCGGCTACCTGTCGGATCGCTTGTCGGATCGCTTGTCACACCTAATTATCTCACCTCAGTGACCTCTGAACATGGAGTGGGGCGGATTCCAGGGGTGCTGGCATGCTTACACCTATACCCATCAACCCGCGGGCGTTGATTCAATGTCAAAGAGTGAGAAATCAACATCTTCAGTTTGTGAGAGCATCCACTAATACATGCACTTAGAATTAATCTAGACACCAGTATTGATAGGATAAAGTCGTCAAACAGGTTCTAGGTACATAGTATTAATTCAATACAATTCTATTACAAATCAAATATTATCGTATATTGGCATGCTACAACATTTACGACTCTACTCGTAGCTTAACTTAGGAGTTAACTCATTTTGACTGATTCTGCATGATTCTGCTAAGCTTCAAGTAGAAAGCTCGGCAGAAAGCTGGCGAAGTAGGATGACATAGTGGCGCTGCTGGGCTGCGTGACGTCGCCCAGCGGCTCCGACGAGCTGGGTCTTTGCTGGGAACTGGAGCTCGCACCGCTGATCGTCACATCACCGTGTGTAGCAGCGTCACACTTAAAGGTGTGCTCAATGTCTTCAATTTGGACCTTGAATTGAGTTCCTTGAGCTTGCAGCTCGTCAGAGATTGCTGGACACATCCGTGAACTCACTTGCAAAGTTTGCTGGTGCGCTCCCTGGGTGACCCTGAAGCTGGTGGTATCTTCGCAGGTGCCGACTGGAGCGGGACGTGTGCACGGCTGGTACCCTTCAAGGAAATAGTAATCTTCCTGATATTGTTCTAATGCATGATTGCACTGATGACACCGCCCTACACAAGCCAAGGCGAGTTTGGCCACTGCACTATGTGGTTTGATGTATCCAATAGCCTTCAGGATGCGGGAGTTTCCACTAGCGAAGCAGTGGCAAAAATGAGACAATGAAGTTGTCACACATCCATTCTCGAAGGATTCCAACTCAACAAGCTCCCATGAAGATTCAGAGGAGCGCCAAACCCTCGTGGCGCCGATGCATGCTGGAAACATGACAGTGACGGGAGTCGTGAAGCTTGTGTGCTCGGGTGTGAGACGCACCAAAGGGCTCAAGGGTTCCTCCCCATCCGTGAATAGACTCTCCGTGGATGGCACGTCTGATGCATTCCAATCCACAATATCTGCCATCAAGGCGTGCTGGTTCCAAACGCTTTTCCTTGGATTTTGCTTGGCCGGGAAACAATCGACATATAAACACTCTTCCACATGTCATAAATTAATGTAATACTCATATAAGATCATATAAGGAAAATCATGTTCACATCGCCCCAAAACTGCCAAAGCCAGGATTCGGGGCCACAAGAGTTATGTTGTTTGGAAAGCGGATGGTTTCCTCGGGGTCCGACATCTGCACCTTCAGCATTTGGCACAGTCGCTGAGCAACTGCTCAAGCCAAACCCAGTTGCTGAACGGTTGAACCACCTTGAACCTGCTGTCACTTTTGACCTGCAATTCTTATGTTCAAAGGTATACTATAGAAACAGTTGGTATTATTCCGTGAATCAGCAGTTGATGCTGTGAACAAGACTCTCTAAGTATGGCAGAACACTAGTCTGCCCGTGTCCAAGGAACAAACACGCCTACATCTTCTCTCCAGTCTTCCCCTATAGAGTACACGTATCGTCAATAGTGCATGCAGCGAAAAAGAACAAAAGCCCTGCATCACGAGTTGAACAGATTAGCTGAAGTCAAAAGTACCGCTTCTGCGCTCATCAGGTCCAACGGTGGACAAACGATACGAGTAGTACACTGACTAGTTCATATAGAAAGATCAAATCAAATCTTCATCTCCATCCCCGATTTGCTTCCAATTCCGAGAAAAGAACCACCTCAATCTGTGCTTCCAAATCTAAGAGCTGCACCTCGCCAGGGGGACCTGAAAGCGGTTTGAGAGAAATATCGGAGCAAGCAATCGGAGACAGAATTGGCACTCAGTTTACTCATGAAATCTCTGCAATCCGCCTTCAGGCCGTGCTACTCCTCCCTGCACCTGGACCAAAGAAAAGAGCTCACTGGAAAATACATCGTGTGGCACATGGGATCCGCATGCGGCAGAGTCGAGGTCCCATGTGGCCCTACCATGGGACCAAGGTTCTGATGGTTCTGTAGCACGTGTTAATCGATGTTAACTGCTTTGGATGTCTTTTATGACTCACTCAGTGGTTTGTCTTGGACCATGTAGCAATTGTCTCCAAAGAAGCTTCGACTGTGAGAAAGCGAAAACTGTGAACTGCACTGAAGCCTCAGCTGGACGATTAATGCTCTTCTGGACATAGTTCTCACTGGGTCAAACCATGGAGCAAACGAGTGGACGAACTTGCATTGTTCATTGGTCTTCGTCTCCGTTGATGATCTGCTTTGAAGTTGAAAAAAGTGAGTGCACACTCACTGTGTCCTTGCCAGGTCCAACATCAAGAAGTGCAAAGAAACTGTGACATGCTGTGACCGTGTGTTTTGTTTGCTTGATTTTTTGCTTGCTTGCTTGCTTGCCTGCCTGGTTTGAATGTTTGGCTGTTATTAATCATCAAATCAAATCTCGCATCGAACGATAACAGTGACACTTTCACCTGGAAACTATGTGGTGCAAAGCATCATGCCGCTTTGATATTTTCATGTTCTGAGCTGACTGCGGACTGTGCTGGATGCTCTACCGGATCTTCTGGCACCTCACACGCAGACACATAAATTTAAACAATGCATGTAAACGGACAGCTGTGACACAATCGGGTTCAGGATGTATATAGTGGGTGATTAGAGAATGCATGTTGATCAAGCTGATTGGGCTGCCACACCATAACAAGGGCAGTTACAAAGTCCCCGATGTTGACTCCGGCTTCTTCCAGCGTCAGCTGCACTTTCCTGACAGATCTCACTTCGGTATCGAGCCACATCAACTAGTCCAACTATGCACATCTGCACATCAACAATGCAATGTGTCAAAAGGCGGGATAGACATATGTGATTATGTGTTTGAACATATTTGAACTAGCGCATCCTGACATTTCTCAAAGACCTGTGCCGAACTCAAGGCGCTGAAGGCAAATCATTTCAATCATGGATCTAGAATCCTAATTGAACCCAGCCGCAAACAGATTTGACACCCTACGGTTTGCTTGTCTTTCCCCCTGGTGCGTAGGCACCAAAGTGAAAAAACATATAGAGACGCTAGGATGTCTGATTCATACTAACGTACAAGTAGTCAGGACATTTCTTGAGGG